CCAATAGCACCTACCACACCATTGATATCACCAAAGAAAGGGAGCATTGCTGCCATAAATCCACAGAATATCACGTACAGAGTCCGAAGAATTAGCCTGGGAATAAGATTCCTTCGGAAAACATCCCTTGCTTTAGATCGGCTGATTGCTGTTCCATAATCTCATATGCAACTTGAGAATAAACCTATGTTATATTGTACGAATATTACCTCAACGCAAACTGAAATAAGGTTTTTAAATTAAAAAAAATCAACAATAACTCATTCCAAAAATATTTTCTTGATGTTGAACGTGGTAATGGAAACCATAATTAGTTAAGGTTCTCCAATCTCCAATTTTTGAGAAAAGGAACATACCAGGCCAATGGCAAATAGCTGTAGAAGAATGAATACAACTGCAAGGCCCATAACTATTGTTGGAGCCAAGGATGGTCCATCGTCCGGCATTAGACTCTTCAGAATGTTTGAGTTGGATTTGTTTCCAAAAAACCCAGTATCCAGAAACCGCAGCTGAGTAGAAAGTAACAAAAATTACACTGTAACACATTAGGAGTCCTTTTACCATCTTCCCAGTAGCAGGTGCAGCCAGTGTTGCCTGTGTCAAAGACAAAATTGTTGATAGGAAACCAAGAAGCTTTTGTTGACAAAACGATAGTTCAAATTTGCTGTTTAATGATTTTAATAAAAATTAGAAATCAAACAAATTATATTTCAAAACTTCAGCCGCGTGAGCACAACTCCATCAGTAAGTAGTAATCTCTGGAATCTAGTTTATTCCAACAATCATAGGCAACGGATTTCTAGCAAGCATCTTCTGGAGATTCATGTAAGAGTAAAAATTTACTTGTATTTCAGGAAGAATCCCGTTCCCAAAAATGGCAGCTAATATGAAGATATAAGTGAAGGCGCTAAACACCCTTGATGAATTTGAAGATTCCAACAAATAGTCCCTATGAGGGGCATTTTCAGAGAAACCTACCGGAAAAGTAGAACATGTTTAAATCCAAAAATGGTGCCATAGTATCATCTGTTTTCTGTATATGATCAAAAATTGGAAGACTTTGAATTCAAACTAAAGACTGAAATTCAACTATGATCTTCAAGAAGCTTAATTAAAAGATCTAAGCAGTAACTAAAATTTATTTATGGAGAAGTTGCAGCATTGGTTATGTGTATCCTCTGTTTCTAACAAATCCGATGAGTCTTAACATTTTCAAATGATTCCTTTTGCAAGCAGCAAGTTTTCTCCTGCTACTTCATTACTGGGGTTCAATATTAAAGTCTATTCAACAAACTAAAAAGCTCCTTGGGCCTAGCATTGAATCAGTCACATGTCATACTGACATTTCATGTCACAACCTCGTCTGCTGTCTGGGCCAAGTATTTAATAGCGACGTATCATTCCATATGATTGTAGAGTGATCAATTCTTGCTTCTAGGTGGCCATGACTATTAAGAACACTCTGCTTTAATTTCATTCAATCTTCTGTTGAATTTACATTAACATATTACATGTAAACGATTGAAAGGCTACTCAATGATTTCTACACCTGCGTGGATACAAGCACCGACCACAAGGAATGTATAGCACAAGCTGAGAAGCAGAGAAGCAAAATTGAGGTGTCTGAGGGAATGGAAGGTTGGGATCTGAGAGAGAACTATCATCACCACAGTTACCATTGCTATGAACTCATACAGCTTCGAACTCATACAGCTTCAAGGATCCATTGGGAGAAAGGTTCGAATAAATGATCTTTCAACCAAAAAATGGAAAAAAAAAAAAAAAGAATTAGAGAAACAATCAATGCTGTATGCTTATTGATGAAGACTGATTTTCTGGCCTATATAGCAAAAAGTCACCCCTTACAAAACAGAACCAGACACTGACCTTCCCAGAAGACCGAAATAAATGACAGGAGGACTGATTTGAACAAGAAATTAATGGTATCTTTATCATTAATTTAAAAAAATATCGATGGGTCCCAATCATCTCCGTCGAGCTTGAAAAAAAATGCAAAACCTGTTTACATTACAGGAAAAGAACCTTGGGGAGAATTTTTGTTTTTGAACAGAACAAATCTGTCGGTGTTTGTGCCAAGCCTTAGGTCGCCTTGAGCCTACACCATTTGATTTTAGAATTAATTGCATTGAGGTGAGGGCCATACCTGAAGGCATTCCCCTGCGAGCAAAATTGCTCCTATTCCAACCACAGTGTTGATGGCTGTTTGAATAAATATCACAAAATAAAACATCCATCCTGACCCTGAAGTAAACAAAAAAAAAAAAAAAAAAAGACTTAAAGCTTTAAACCCTACAAGGTTTATGGTTGAGTTCGTTATACTTTTTTTTCTTCAAATAAGGTCCCTAAATTTGAATATATACCAATTTTCTTCATATAAAGACAGCTATTTCCGCACCAAAAAAATCGCATGCGTGCCCCAACCTCTCTAATCAAGCCAAAACTCATTCTGTTTCTGACTTTGGAGCACTACTATTTGCTTATCATGCGCTTTCTCTTTTTCAAAATATTTCCAAAATAATTTCACATTTTAAATGTTTCTTTTAGACAAGTTGTTTGCTTTCTTCCATTTTAATTAGTTGTATAACATATAGAACAATCATCAATATCATTCATTTTATTGCAGTTAGTTTGATTTTTTAACACAAAATAAATAGTCATCACTTTTTTATTTTAAGAACGATATTCGATTCTCTTAATAAAAATTTATAACCTGGAGTCAAAATGTTCAGATATATTTTTGTTTTTTCTTATTTCTTCTTCGCGCAATCATCTTTGAATTTAAGACTTACCCTAAATCAAAGACAAAGACTCATGCCTCGGTGAGAGATCTATATTTTTATCTTGAAGTGATTACATTTGTCTCGTAATAACTTAAAAAAGTCCCAAATTATTCAATAAAGCCACGGTAAACGTCGGCGGCAAGCTCGCGAAAGCGTCATGTGCGGCGACCAGTTTTTTCACAGTTGGTCGGAGCACTGGACACGAATAGTAAGAGTAAAGGTGACGCATCCCTCACAGTTAAACAATAACGAAGCCTAGCTCCATTCCAATCCCCTAAATGCATACGGCAGCATCAGGATTGTTGGCCCCACGATCGCTGTCGTCAGATGAAACCCCGCATGCCACCACTTCCCTGTATTTTATTGGAAACAGAGAGAAATGTATAACAGGGAGCTTAAAAAAATTGCTTTTTTTTTGTTGGAGAAGTCGTAGGAGCGATACTATTGATGATATAAATGACTGTATATATCAATGTGCTTTATTTGTCACCTTTTGATTCGAGCACAAAGATTGCTCCGGCGTCAGAGTCTAGGCGGGACTCTGAGAACGGGTCCTGTTGTGGAGGTTGAGCCATATTTTTGTCTTTGGTGGTCTTGACTTCGGAGGAGGAGAAGGCGTAACTAACACCTGAGAAGGGGCAAAGAGAGTGTAATTTAGCCTCCCTGGGACGTGAAAGGGAATATTTAATATATTACTATGGTCTTATCATGAATGTTAGTCTATTGGTTTCGAAACGGAAAGAAAAGGGAGGGCTAAGGTTTTTCTTCAAAGAAGGTTAAAGGGAACTGAGAAAGGAAAATTTGTAGGTGAAAATAAAATAAAAGTGTTAGATCGAATTTCAGCTAGAATTCACCTCCTAAAAATGGATAAAATATTTGGGCTAAACTCAAGTTCTAAGGTTTTTTTTACTACTCTATTTGTTTAAATTTTAAGCGAAATCACTTGACTAACCTGTTCAAGTACTATATTTGACAGACATAATTGGTGGCAATAGTGATTCGATACTTCAAAGTATTGGACGTGTGAAGAAATAAAGGCAAACCAGAAATGCCAAAGCAACAATATTTGTATCATATTTAGAAAAAGAACTACTTTTAGTAGATATATATTGTGTATGGCAGAGAAGAGAATATGCTAAAGGCCTGTGAAAAAATGCTCGTTTCTTTCAGCTCATCTGCTTCCCTTTTAACTAGTGGTTTGTGTAGTCACTAAGCGATCTCTTGCTCGATCACGCGGAAAAGGTTTCTGGCTTGTTTTGATTGCTTGGACGAAACTGTGCAGTAACGTACCGTAATTGCGTAGCCTAGGATTAGTGATAAAGTATTCAAAATAAAATGTTTCCAAATACTATTCACTATTTTATGAGCCAATAGTTGATTCCTTTACCTTCTTGGTATATATCCATATATATATAATATATATATATATATGTGTGTGTGTGTGTTGAGCTTAATACTTCTTGTTGTATATTACCATAGAAAATTCTAAACTTCTAACGAATTAAACTAACATTTTCTCAAAAAAAAAAAAAAAGAAGAAAAAAAGAAAGTCTCATGATGAAGATGGTTTTTTTTTTTTGAGCAATGAGAGATTCTTAAACTTCACTCATGTCATCTCCCGAGCAGGTATTACTATAAGTAAACTTCTAGTTTACTGGGTCCAACAAGCTGGAAATAATTGCCCTTGTTTGGTTGGCTGTTAGTAACTAATACTATATATTTGCGTAAGTACAGTAGGGTCATTGGAAATCTAAATTTTGAATCATTCAGATTGTGATGACATGGATGGAGCATTAACCTGAGAATTTTTGCATTAAATAAACTCCGGGATTGCAATCATTTATATTGCTGTCACACGAACTAACGGTAGACTGGTGTAGTTGAACACTACCAGCCTTAATTGCTGACTTCATGTCCAACGCATCAATAATCCACTGGCTTGGTCTCCTTTTCTCTTTGGTTTCTGTAACTTTTATGTTGCATGAATCTAAGCCACATGAAAAATATCCCGACACAAAGATAAAATCTGCACAGCCAATGGTGATAAATCAAGGAACCTCAACAACAGTATCTTTTTCTCTTCTTCAGTCTTGACCAGTGGATGGGTTTTTGTTTCTGAAATTTTACAAGCTCCTCCTCCTCTTACAGTGAAATTGAACTTTGCCCGTAAGAATTTTTCACCATCAATCACTGAACGTGCCCCTGCCCCAGCTCCCATGTATATCTTACAGGTAGGGGTGAGAATGGCCAACATAAGTATATTGTACTACTTAAGTAACTTTAATTGTCTAAAAAATTGTTTTTTTTTTTTTTTGTCAAACCGAAAATGTTAGGTATATTAACTCAAAATGACAGGATTATTTTACACAAATAGTGGCAGGTGAATAAAAACTGCTACTCCTACTTTACACGGCCTCTTCTCAATTATAACTACACAAATCATTTAGGGGAAAGGGGAACATGCTGTTGACTTATAGTAAATACAAGAAAGGTACACTTCATTGCTGCGCCAAAAGGACTTAATGCTCCTTACATTTTAGGAGCAGAAATTTCTAAGCCTTGTGTATATGCTTGCTGCTTAGTCAACCACATTACTGCTAAAGAGCTTGAACTTGTTGGCATCAAGAACCAATTTCCTAACAGAAGAAAATGAGCCCATGATTCCCACACCTGTGAAAGTAATGATGATGAACAGATTGATCCAGTAGGTGAGGGACGACCTTGAAGGCTTATAGGTCATGTTGTAGAGAAGCATAGGGAGGATGAAATCTAGAGGGATGAAGCCGATAGCGCCTACGACAGCACTGATGTCACCAAAGAAAGGAAGCATTGCTGCCATAAACCCACAGAATATCACATACAGTGACCGAAGAATTAGCCTAGGGATAAGGTTCCTTTTGGAAAACATCCCTTGTTTAACGTCAGCTGATTGCTTTTCCATGATCTCATAAGCAACTTGAGAATAAACCTGTTTTATGTTGGAGAAAGAATATTACCTCAATGCAAATGAAATGAGATTTTGAAATTAAAAAAAAAAAAAAAAAGACAGAATCGACAGAATTCATTTTCTCTCCGATTTGAGTGAAAGAGAGCGTACGGATGGCTTACCAAGCCAATAGCTAAGAGTTGCAAGAGAACAAATACAACTGCAAGGCCAAGAACTATGGTTGGAGCCAAGGAAGGTCCTTCATCTGGCATCAGACTCTTCAGAATGTTTGAATTAGATTTGTTGCCGAACACCCAGTATCCAGAGATTGCAGCAGAATAGAAAGTAAAGAAGGCTACAGTGTAACACATCAGCAGTCCTTTTACAATCTTTCCTGTAGCAGGTGGAGCCAGAGTTGCCTGTAGGAATGAGAATATTCAGATGAAAAAGGCAGGAAGGTTTGATGCATCTCAGTAAACAATCTCAGAATCTTCCACCTTACAAAAGGTTCAAAACTACAAATCAAAAGATACTGTATGAATTCATATAAGAGCTGAACATTACTTGTATTTCAGGAAGTATCCCGTTCCCAAAAATTGCAGCTATTATAGAGATAGAATTGAAGGCACTAAACGCCCTTGCTGAACTTGAAGATTCCAAGGAATAGTCCCTAGGAGGGGCATTTTTGGATAGACCTGCAGTAAAAATTAAGATTATTCAAATCTGGGAATGAAGCTACTGTGATGTGTCTCTATTGATAATAAATGAAAAGAATTCTGCTACAAAGAATGGTGGCAATTATTAAAATCTTTAACACAAAGGACAGCAATTTAACAATAACAGAATTGAGTAAATTTAATTTGAAAACTTCAGAAGTAACTAAATCATTTAGATATCTAGTTGCTTTGAAGTTAGATCGGCATTTGAGTTGGTTAGACATTAAAAGTTAGTTGGTCTTCTGTTTCCATTTAAAATCTTATTAAGTCGAAGCTCAAGTGATTCCTTCAGAAAGTAGCAACTTGTTATCAAAAGTCTAATAATTGCTTGGGTTGATATTAAAGTGTATTAAACAAAATTATGGAGACACCTTCAGCACAGCATTGAATCACTCACATGCTTGTCAGTACGAAATCTGAACCATTCAACCTAAGTTGGTTTCCTACTTTAAAGAAGAAAAAGAGGAGGTGGGCTGGAACAAGTATTGAATGATACAAAAAATAACGGATCATCAGGCAAAATAAGAAAGTTCTCCACCATATTACCTTCTTTATGTCTGATTTTTTTTCTTTAAGGCAGGCATAAGAATTGTATGGATGCATTCAATCTTCTAGTTAATACAAGGTTAACAGCCTATAAACCAAGATTTCAAAGCAGGTCAATGATTTCTATACCTGCATGAATACAGGCACCAACCACAAGGAAACTGTACCCCAAGCTGAGAAGAAGAGAAGCAAAATTGATATGTCTGAGGGAATGGAAGGATGGAAGCTGAGAGAGAACTATCATCACCACTGTTACCATTGCTATAAACTCATACAGCTTCAAGGATCCATTGGGAGAAAGGTTCTCATACATGATCTTTCCACAACCAAAGGCAAAATTGAAAGAGATAAAGAAGAGTAATTAGTACTGAAATTAAACTATAGATTTTCTTTTGAATCCAGTTTTATAGTATTCAATTATTCATTAGTAAATCAGCAAAACACCTTCCTTCTGGTCAGCCCTATGTTAAACCAACGCTAATACAGAAGAGTTCTAGATAAAATTTGACCAAATCTTTTACTTCAAATATTCTTCTGATTCTCCCCTCCAAAGTAGTGAGCTTTAGATGGTGCCTCTTGATGGAGACTGATTTATTGCATACAAGACCCATCTTCAAACAAGAGTTAGCCACAGTAGACCATACTAGAAGATGGAAATAAATGGCCAAAAAACTGGTCGGGGCAACAAATGTAAGGTATCTTATCTCTATCCTTGGAAAAAACTAAAATAGATAGGTTCCAAATAGAGCAACACCATGTGTTCAAATGTTTTTGATTGGATAAAACTTGCTTTAGAAGTAATAAGAATGACTATACCTACATCATCTGTTAGACCACAAAACTTCCAAATGGAATTAATAGATGGAGGGCCATACCTTAAGGCATTCCCCTGCAAGCAAAATTGCTCCTATGCCAACCCCTGTATTGATAGCTGTTTGGATGAATATAACAAAATAAAACATCCATCCAGAACCTGCACGAAACACTTGCGTCTGTTTAGCATTTCGGTATTTTTCTTTTGTAGACTAATTCCTGAATCGATAAGCAATAAAAAAATAACTTACACACTATTATTCCATATACTAAATAAATATTGGTATATATTTTCATTGACTTTTTAGTACTCAATAAAACGTACGAAATTCTGGTATCAAACAATAAGAAATTCTACTACTGATTATCAGTATTTCTCCAAGAGGTTCCAGCCTATCAACTAAAGCCATGTATGCATGTTGCGTCGTGTGATGCCGAAATGGCAAAAGTCAACCTACTTTTTTACGCTAGGAATGATGACAGTAATAATAATTTTCCGTAATTAGTTAAATGATCCAACTTTTACGCTTTCCAAAATCCGATGTGGAAAAAATTCTCTAACGGAACCACAAACCAAAATGCAACCGGCCAACACGAAACGGTGATTGCGTGATCGAAAGAGCGAAAAATATTGTTAGTCAATACCTAAAACGTCGGCGGCGAGCTCACGGAAGCGGATGTGTCGGCGGCCAGCTTTTTCGCAGTGCTCAAGCACCCTGGACATGAGATAGTAGGAGTAGAAGGTGACACATCCCAACACCGTTAAACATAAGAAGCCAAGGACCCAACCCAATCCCCTGAACGCGTAGGGTAGCGTTAGAATTGTAGGTCCCACTATCGCCGTCGTCAGATGAAACCCCGCATGCCACCACTTCCCTATGAAAAACACCAAGAGAAAAAAAATAATTTGTAGGCTAAAAAGCTCAGGTGATCATGGTTTCGAGTTGTGACGTTTATAATTTAGCTCTGGTAATTCACCTTTTGATTCAAGAACGAAGGTTGCTCCAGCGTCGGATTCCAGGTGGGACTCTGAGAACGGGTTCCGTTGCGGAGGTGTCGCCATATTTTCAGGTGCCAAAGTCAGCTAAAGATAGAAGGAGGAGAAGGGTTAATTTTGTTCTTGGAGGAGTCGAAAGTAACGTACGCCAGCAGCCAGGGGAGCAGGACTGATGGGCAGCTCAGCCGCCCGAGAACGTAAAAGTATGGGACGAGTATTTTTTCGTCTTGATATAAAAAGAACACCGGGGTCCCGGGTTCTTTTTGTCAGCTCCTCTATTGCAATTGAAATTACCTGACTGCCTAATGCAGTGATTAAGGGTGAAAATGGGCAGGGGTTTTTTGGTCCTTTTAAGGTCCTTTTTTGGGTCCTTTTATTATCCTCGGTCCTATCGGAAGTCTTTACGTCTGCGCATAGACCGAAAAGAATGCATGAAACTTTTTATCTATATTACTCTGTTTTCCTCTATCATGACTCCATATTTTTTTATGTATTCTTCAGTTAGGCCAAATACGAAGTTTACTGGTTTTCTGTGAAAGGATCTTAAATTGAAAACAATGGACAGCATTCGACCAGAGATGAGAGAGAACACTGGATCTTAAATTGCAGTCAAAAAAGTTAACATTGAACAGCTCTTAAAAGCCTACTAAAATGACGATGATGTTCAACAAACACTTGAACATCAACAAAACATCAGAGCTTTCACTGTTGCAGCTTGTTCTCCTCCGCAGCAGCTGCTGTAGATTTGTATTCTTCCAATTCTTTCTTGTATGCTTCCATGGCTTCAGCTGCTTTGGCATTCCAACTATTCTTCTCTTCCTCACTAAGTTCCTATAACCCAAAAAATTAAAACAAAAAAACAAACCCAAGAGTGAACCATAGTTAAGGTTAAAAAACCAAAAATGGTGTTTAAGATAATACCATACTTTCCATTTCACTGAAATCAGGGCATTAATTGTAGAATTGTTGATTCCTTGTCGCTCTTGGATCAGAGTTTTTCTTGTTTCTTTACTGAACAGAAGGAATGAAGAAGCAGGCTTCTTGGGCTTGTTAGGGTCAGAGTTCTGCTGCTGCTTCTTCTTCTTCTGGCGCTTCTCCTTGGTCTTCTTAATAATATTCTCTGTCTTCTCTTTCTTCTTAAGCAATTGAAGAGCTTCTTGTTTTTGAAGTTTCATCATCTCCTCCTCTTCCTTCCAATTCTTTCTTGTATGCTTCCATGGCTTCAGCTGCTTTGGCATTCCAACTATTCTTCTCTTCCTCACTAAGTTCCTATAACCCAAAAAATTAAAACAAAAAAACAAACCCAAGAGTGAACCATAGTTAAGGTTAAAAAACCAAAAATGGTGTTTAAGATAATACCATACTTTCCATTTCACTGAAATCAGGGCATTAATTGTAGAATTGTTGATTCCTTGTCGCTCTTGGATCAGAGTTTTTCTTGTTTCTTTACTGAACAGAAGGAATGAAGAAGCAGGCTTCTTGGGCTTGTTAGGGTCAGAGTTCTGCTGCTGCTTCTTCTTCTTCTGGCGCTTCTCCTTGGTCTTCTTAATAATATTCTCTGTCTTCTCTTTCTTCTTAAGCAATTGAAGAGCTTCTTGTTTTTGAAGTTTCATCATCTCCTCCTCTTCCTTCCTAAGATTCAAGGCTTCTTCCTTCTTTTTCTGCTTGTAAACCTCCATTTCCTGCATGTATTTTTCCTTGTTCTTCTTAGCCATCTGCAATTCACGAAAACAAATGAGAGCTCTAACCAAGGAAGTAAAAATGTTATGGATATTTGTATCTATTTAATCATTTACCTCTTCATAAGGTCCTCTTTGTTCTTCAGTCATGTTCTTCCACTCTTCACCAGTCATTTTCGCTACCTCCAAAACATTCTTGTTCTCTGCTAGAAGAGCTGCCCTCCTCTCGTTGGAGAACAAGAAAAATGCTGACATGGGTTGCTTTGGCTTCAACGGATCCCTTTCTTTTTTGGTCTTCTTGGTCTCTTTCTCTGTTTCCTGTTTGAACTGCAAATACTGTTCAAGTAACTCCATAGCAGTCTTCTGCTTATGATCATTTTCCAAGAGCTTCATGGCTTCACTCTCGCGCTTTTCTTTTCCAATCAGCTGCAAATAGGCTTCCTTCTGTGCCTGATATTTCTCTTCATAAGGCTTCTTTTCTTCAGTAGTAACGGTTTTCCATTTCGCCCCCAAAATATTTGAGACCTCTTTGAAATCTGCCTCTGGGTTCTCCTTCTTGACCTAAAAACCAAGTAAACACAACAATGAGATAGTTGGAGACTGACTAACAAAACTATATTTTAATTGAAAATTTTAAGTATCCGGTTATCTACCTCATTCCATTGATCTTTGCACCATAAGATGTAAGGTGGAGATGGCCTTTTCTTTTCAGGGCCTCCCTCCTTCTTCTTCTTCTCTTTTTTGTTCTGTTTCTTGTCTTTCTGAGATTGAGCAATTGGGAAAGTCTGAAGAAAGAACAAGAATAAGAATCATCAGAAATCAAAATCAAGAAAGAAAAGCAAGGGAAATCAAGAGAAAAAAAAAAGTACCATAGTGGGCTTAAACTCCTTTATTTTCTGCAATTTCTTAAACTCTATCTGCAATTTCTCTCGATCTTTTCCCTTGGTCTCAAGCTCTTCCTCTTTCAACTTCAGCATCTCATCTTTCTCCTTCAATAACTCCTCTGTCTTCTCCTTCTCTATCCTCAACTTCTGCACCATCTCTTGCATTTCTTGCAACTCTTTCTCGAAAGACTGCTGCTGCTGCTTGCTCTGTTTCCCTTTCGCAGCGGCTTTCCCTCTCTTGGAAGTTTGAGAGAGTACCTCGTGGTTCTCTTTGTAGGGATCAGCTTCCATTGGAGAAGAAACTGGAGTTGGGGAAGGCTGAGAGAGCTTTTGTGCCAAAATATTGGCATCATTTGTTGATGGGTTTTTCTGTTTCAGGGCTTTTCTTCCATTGTTTCTTGATTTTTTGGGCACATCAACAACTGCTGTATCAGCCATATTTGGGAAGGGCAGACAAATTTAGAGAGATTGGTTTCTTGAGATAAGAATGGCTTAGTTGACAGGAAGAGCGGGGGGTTTATAAGTGGAAGGGAGAGCGGAAGCGCAACGGTCTGATTTTTCAAATTAAAAAATAAGTTCTTGAGATTAAAGAAGGATGCAGGTTTAAAACATTTTTTACCGTTGAGGGGATTGTATGGATTTTTAAAAGGGAATACTCGTTACTTTCTTGAGCGGTTTATTAAGGAAGTATCCTAAGGCCTAATCCCCGGTTTGTGAAAAGCAGATTTGAGGTTGAAAATGTAGAAATTGGGACCAAAAATTAGGCAAAGTGTTTGCGCCGTATCAGTAGTTGATTCTGTCATCAATGAACATGCCAATGGTCCGCGTTTCTATACAAGTTATAGATTATCTATGCAGCAACTGGCAATCATTGAATTTTATAATCAATGTTACTGTTGCTGAGGCTTGAAACGAGTACGATTTGTTGGAACTAGTCCAGAAATCACCAAGTCACAAATATAATTTATACTGACTAAGATTTATCTCAGCAAAAGCTCAATCCCATTAACTCTAATCTCATAAGAATGGTGCCATTGTCATGTGCTTTTTGATATCACCATCATGTCAACGAAGAGTATAAGATAGATAGAGTTCTTTTTATTTTCATCCTTAAATTTTTATATTATACTTATTTTTTATTCATACATAATGAATATTTTAAATATATTTCTATTTTTATCTCTACAAGTATTTAATGGGTATAAATAATCCCTATAATCATAACTTTTTTAAAAAATAAATTTTTATTTTTATTTTTTAGCTTTTTGATAATTTTTTTATAAATATATATATATATTAATATATATTTTTCAATAAAAATATGTTAATTATAATTAATCTAAAATAATAATTTATATTATTTAAAATTTTATTTATTAAATATATATAAATATATAAAGTAAATATCCAGTCCATAAACTTTAGGTTAAATTTTATTTTAGTTTTTAAATTTTAAAAAAATCTAATCGAATTCTTAGTTGCCTAAATTTATATCAATATAGTCACTTCATTTGATAGATTATCTAAATTAATAAAAAATCTCATGTGACATGACACATAAACTTTAAAAATTAAAAATTTAAATACGTAAAATTTTAAAGTTTACTTAAACATGTATAATTTAAAAATATGAAATTAAAAATAAAAAAAAACTTAAATCGAGGCATAACTCAATTAAAGACAAAATATTAAATTAATTCAACAAAAATTTACTTTTTACTGATAAGTTGAATACATATAAACTAACTCAATAAATATATTAATTCATGAAATATTTTAGCACAAGTCCATATCATTTCATTACTTGTGCATACATTTACTAATAAAAAGAATTATAAATCAAAATAATCCCAAAATTTTCGCAAGATTCAAATTTTTTAATCCAAAAAAAAAAAAGAACCAAGTTTTTTGTAATCATATATAGCAAAAAACCCTATTTTTATGGATAATAAAAAGAGCCCGTAAAATTTCAATACAAGACACCACAAAATAGGAATCGAAAGGTTACCTTTATCATATTGAATATCAATAAATGCCATTAACCCATTACTCAGATTTGAAATAAATAAAAATAATTTCATTAATTTCTTTTCTCTAAATTACCTATTGCTTTCTTCCTCTTAATTTTAAAGGGGACAAAAGAAAAGACGGAAGAGATAGGTTGCCAGAATCTCAACTGGAGAAAGGTTGGATTAACCCAAATAGTATCGAATCAAGTCCTTTGCATTTCATTTGACGAAGAAGGTAGAGTTGTTATTGAACTCCAACTTTTGGTGCAGGTAGTGGGAGGGTCACATGCTACCCCTCCAAGTGATTTGCCATCTCTAGGCTGTTGGAGGAAAAGAGAAGGCATAAAGGAAAAGGAAAAAAACCAAAATCGAGTTATAACGTAGTGTTGATTTAGGATTTTTTTTAATTTTATATTTTTTAATTATATATGCTTAAGCCAATTTTAAAAATTTACATTTTTAAAATTTTAAAGATAATGTATCATATCATATGAAAATTTTTTTTTAATTTAAATGTTTCAACAAATAGAAGAATTGCATTGGTATACATTTAGATAATTGAAGATTAGATTAAAATTTTTTAAAGATTAAGAATTAAAATAAAATTGGACTCAAAATTCAAGAACAAAAGATGCCATTTACTTAAATATATATGTAGAAAACAAGTATGAAACAGATGCTGCATTATTCATCTCTATTCCTATACCTAATAAAAAATTAAAATTATATTCATCACATCTTCATTCTGGTACCTGCAATGTAATGCTAATTCTCGTTCAGTTAAAAAGTTGGGTTTCTTATTGGGTATAGGTAAGATTAATATCCTTGGATGTCACCCTTCGAACTCCGATCAATAACTTGCACAATAAATGAAGAAAGAATTGCTCTCTAGCTTTCAAACTGAAGCGGTAAAATCAAATGGACCAGCTTTGAGAGACGTAAAAGTAGAGACCTCTCTAACTTGTTAATCAAAATTGACCTTCTCATTATGAGTCTAAATATACAGGATTACACCTAACAATAATTACACTACTAATTTGAATATATTATAATATTATAATATAATAATTACTCATTAATTGATATTAATTAATATAATCCCATATTTAATTACTTTGTTAATCAACCGGTATGAGACCATACAAAATTATTTCTATTTCCATCCAGTAATCCCAGCATGATCCACAGAAAGCTGAGCGCCTCAGCGGAGGGAAACAGATGAACCACTGGCATTCACTATGATAAAATGCCTTTGTTCAACTAGTGGCTATGAAGAAGCATCACTTCAGGATGGCAACTGTCAAAATTTCTTGAGAAAAAACAACCTCCAAAATCGATCAGGCAAATTTTTTTGATTAACCATTAACCACCATCTCCATAATTACATCATTCCAAAAGTCTATTGGTCCAGGTAAACACCAATGTAGAGAGTCGTTCTGAACAACTGTTGGTTTGTTCTCTGGTATCGGCTGAAACTGACGATATGAACCTGTGTGTCCATCTGGTCTCAGTAATAAGAGATTTGCGAAGACAAGAAGTTTAAGATTCACCTCATAATCAGCAGCTTTTGCCGTTGCCTTCTCAAACTCTTCTAATTCAGCATTACGCAGAATTCTGTCCAAGTCTTTGATTAAGGATTGTTCCTCATTAGATTAACATAAGCACTCCACATGACAAAATCATCTGGCAAACCAAGAAGAGATCCAAATGCACATACAAGTATATATGTTTAATGAAACTTTTCTTGTTACAAATACAACAAATTACAAAGGATTTTGATTTTACACCAACCACAGAAGAAGGTTTTATAGGATATCAAACAAATATGGCTATAGCAGGGGCAAAGGCAATTGCCTCTTCAAATTACTCATCAGAAGAAGTTGTAGAACCTCACTGACCAGGGACCCTCATGCCAAATCCACGCTTCTCTTTCTCGACTCTGTTGTCCAATTGTCAATAGATTACAATCAGTGAGAACAAATTTTATAGCTTGACTAAAGGAAAGGGGGGAAAATCAATTTAAATTGTAAAGGTAGATTTAATTGTCTAAAATCTGAAGTTGACATAATTTATTACTATCAGATTAACTTCCCAGAAGTTCAATACCAAAAAAATGGTATCACAGCTTTTTACTATCATTTCCTGAACTATAGGCCAAGCAAAACAAATTGTCTATTGTAATAAAGAAAAGAGAGAGTGAAATTGCCTATGGAACCTCAAACATGATATCTAGTGGTGATACCTTCAGAGTAAATGCATAAGCTTCCTATAATGGATCAACTAGCAATTGACAGTACAGGAGGACTTACGTTGGGGCCAGTTTGCCAAGATTATATAATTGTATGCGAGTGCCTTCATCAAAAACTCTTCCGGACACGTCGAGAATATAGCTTTTGTCTCTTGTCGTTGGTAATCCTTTGCAAGTTAGGAGGTCTAGATCTTTCTGATGCAGCTCTCTCCCATTTATAAAGACGGCTGTGTTTCCAGCAGCACAGTTTTCTGGCATGGGGTAATTGAATTCTTCAATGAACGGCTGCAAGACAACATTAGAGCATCATCAACAAATTAGAGAGAATGAAATACTATCAGCAATAAAATTGAACAATGGATCAATTGATCTCACGGGAATTATGCCAGAGCAAGGTTGGCCCATCACACCCCAGAATCCAGCTTGAGAATCATACCTTTTAAAGGCAGATTAAAAAAATTCATTACTATCACACAAAGAAGAGCGCATTACATCCAATTCTGTGGAAGCAACCCAATGCACAAAAGGGAAAATTATCTGAAAGCTATTCATAAAACAGTCATTTTCTTAAACAATATCAAAGAATACTACTTATGCTGCTAAACTTCCTGCATTGTTACATGGGTAAACCAGTTATTCATCCATTCTTCTTCATCATTGTTATGTTTTCCCCTTTCAGTGTTTTTGAGTTGCACAACTGCATTGATAGTTTAAATCATCTACGTTACATCACTTAATATAAGCATGCTTAGAAGTTAGAAGGATATGCATTGATTACCAGTAATTTCCCGGAAGAATTGGCCCAGCTTGCTTTTCAGCCTTTCTAACTACAGAGTCAGATATAGGTTGTCCATTCACCAAAACATTAGGTCTTTCATTCTTGATGTTATCATTAGATCTTGAGAAATCTCTAAAGCTTTTCTTAATAAGACCTACTAAAAACGACTTGCTGCCCTTGTGGAGTTTCAATTGGTTGTCTTCTTTGCTTGCTTCAGAAGAGTTTTGATATGAACTTGTATTTAGATATCCATCTAAAGAAACTTCCACCTCAGTTGCCACTAGTGCATTTTTCTCGGAAACAACTTGAGAGGCATTTTTCACTGGGATAACCCTTGCGAGTTTAGCCCTATTTGCATTCGTACGTCTGCTCACTGTTTGATTGGATGATGGATTGTTGACTTGCTCCTGAAAAGGTAAACTTGAAACTGTAGGGCAAAAATCACAACTAAATGGAAGCTCAGAAGAGCCAGGAGAATCTCTACGATCAATAACATTATCAGGGCCTTCCTCTTCCTTAGAAGATATTTGGTCATAACCAAAATTTTCAACATTGCTTGAAGTGGGAACTGCGCCACCAGCGTTAAAAAATCCATGAGAACCTGGGTGGCTGTCGTTCAGCAACTCAGAAGACTTTTCTTCGGCCTCAGGAGGCCTTCGCATGGGACTTCCAGGAACAGAAATAATCAGTCTCTTCTTCTCCATTTCAAACACAATCACAGTTGAACAAGCACCACATCGTAATCTCCAGTCATTCTTCATTTTTCTGAATTTTCTGGGCAATTTTAACAGTTCCAAGCAATTATAGCATGTTATAAATGGAGCACCACTGGCTATAGGGTGACAAAGCCGTTTATTCCGGCTGGTTAGTACTGCCTTTCTAGGACTTCGTCGACCAAAACCTTCAATATCTGAATCGATATCACTTGGCCATATGTGCACTGCTGGATCTTGAAAGTTCAAATGAGGACCTTTGGCAGCTCTAGTCCGATAGTGTTGCCCAACTCTATCAGAATTCACATAATGGTTGAAAGTGGAACTGCAAGGGTCCCTCAAAAACCTTCTATTGCTAAAACCAGCAGGTGGGACTTGCGAAGGGCCTTTCCAGTTTTTGTCATAGCAATGTAAGCATGAGCATGCAGGGAAGTGATACAAGGTTTCGTCTGGATTTGGATATGATGCAAGATCTTCATTAAAATCCAAATATTGTCTTGAAGAGTAGCCATAACCATAAGTCCTTTGCTGAGGATGGTGATAGGATATTTGATTATGATGTCTTCTATGCATACCTGGTGAGAGAGAATCTTCATAAGAAATCTTGCGATGAACATTCTTTGAAAGTGGGTGGAAATTTCCATAAAAGTTCTGGACACGGTCATCATCATTCATAGAACTATGATTTAAATAAGTCAACTTCGAAACATGATGATATTGTGCAGATCGACGATGAGCAGAAGACTTATTGCCAATAGAACCACCAAGATGGTTAATAGAAGCCATCTTATCACTAGGAACCATTTCCCTGGGCGTCTGGGGCATATCATGAGATCTACTCAGTTGATCTTTTAACTCATCCAGCTTCTTGAGCAGCTGGGCTCGATCCTTTTCAAAATTTTGAAACCCATTGGGAACGTCTAGGTATTCAAAACTCTTCACTGGTTTGTGGTAGCCATAAACAGAACCACACCTATAATTTGAAGGTCCCTCATCAGGATAATGGACAGCTGAAAATCTATCCTGTTCATCAATTGTTCCCAGGCTCCTCTTGTAAAACCTTCCAAACCCATCTCTGTCCACACCCTTCAACCTCAAGGACCTAGCGAAGTCTGCTAATTTGGGCGAGTAGTCCCCAACTTTGCTCTCTCTACTCGAATTTACAGACTTAGACCTGTTAGTGTTCATATCCTGATAATAATGCCTTTGAGGATTCTTTGAGGATGGCACATAATTATCAAAATATCCAACTCCTTTCTCAGTTCTATCATGGCCATGCCTATTTTCCCTTACATTTTTATCATCATCAAGGAAGACTTCCTTATCTGTTCTTGAAGAATGACTGTTGAAATTCATACTTTTTTCTCCAAAAATTCTATCCTTTCTCCTACTTATACCCTCAGCTCTACAATTTTCAGTCTCATAAGCACTGCGTACACTACCTCCTTTGTCTAACTGATTATCCGCTTTCTCACAATCCCCTCTTCCCTTCTCAATTGGCTTGTCTAGAAACCCATTACTAGCTGGCTCTTTCTTCTTTGCTGTATTGTCAAAGAAAACCAGCAAAATCTCTCAAATATATTAATGGTCTGTTTAATTGCAGAAAAGAGACATATAAAAATTAAAAATAAAGAACAACTTTACAACGTTCTCCTCTATATATTAGCATGTTCTATTTTTTTTTCCCTTTGATTTCTAAGCAACAAAACAAGGAAGAGTTTTAACTGTGAAAGGAGAACTAACCTTGAAGAACAGCAGCGCAAGAACCGCACTTGTAGACAGAGTAGTCGGGAAGCTCCTTTATCAGACTTTCACACTTGGGGCAACGAACAAACCGAACTTTTGATTCTTCGGCCATTATTAGTCACCAACAGCAAGGACCCAGAGACTTGATAAAAACAAACCAAACCATTAAACTATCCAAAAAATGACCAAAAGAAAATAAACTTTCTGGTTTCTTCAATTCCCTGGAAATTTTTGCTTCAAAATTGAGAAACAAACTGAAGACAAATGAGGTTTACTAAAACAGAAAATTAAGAAAGAAAAAGAAAGGAAGGAAAGAAGAACTTGTTTGAAAGTCCAAGAGTCTGTTTTTCCTAGTTAAGGAGAAGTTTGGAGGGAAAAAAAAATAACAAGACAAAGTCGTAAGAACAAGGCATTCTGTTATTTCACTGCTTGTTTGTACTTGTTAGTCTTTGGAAAAATGGGCCCAAACCGATAACGTGTTCAAGTTTTAATGTAAGTTTTGCAGAAAAGGCTGCCATGGAAAGCCAATATCCTGGTTTGCTTGGTTTGAAAAAAGCAATACAATGGTCTGAGCCAGACTGACAGGACTTGTTTCAAGAAGAAATCAATGTTCGCATTTTGCACTGAACCTTTAGAAAATAAAATGAAGTTGCTCTCTTATTTTATACACATTTTTGGATTGCCACCAAACAGTACAAGCATGCAGTCGGTGGACAATTTCTCTAATGTTTTAACCTTTAAATTCAGTAGGAAACATATTTGCTTGGACATCAAATATTGTTTTTATGCCAAACACAATTTATACAACTCTAAATTGCAGGCCGACAGACATTATCAAACACTTAAAACAAACATTTACAAAAACGCGCTTGGAAGAATAGAGGGATGATGCCGTAAATTAGGTGCTGGTAAGACTTCAATGGTTCTGGAAATTGCTAGGAAGTCAGAGAAGAATATGTCAAACTAAGGAATGGCCAAAAACCCTCTTCTCATCAACATCATTGAAACCCATTTTTCCATTACTTAATCTGATATTAAGTTGTGTTGACTGCGTTTCTGAAAAGTTAAGTCAACGCTAATGACGAATGAATGGAGATTAATCCGTTGGAATTAGGGCCGAGTCAAGGGTACTGGATAAAGCTTGTGACTCTCCAGCTGAATTCTGAAAGCAAGATGAAGAAATTTGTTTGGCAGTTGTTACGGTTAATTTTAATTTAAATTATTTAAAATTATATTAATTAATTATTTTTATTTTTATTAAGTGAATTAAATTTATGAATTTTTAAAATTAAATGATTAAATTAAATTCGATTGGTTTTAATCATTTTTTTATTAATTAAATAAAATTATATTTTAAATTCTTGATTTATCATTTTTAAATAAATTAAATAAAATTATTTAATAAAATATTCAAACATCAAAATATTATATTACAAATTCTAACAATTTATGAAATTAAATGATCCATTACATGTAATTTTTATTTTATATTTGAATTATATTATATTTTTATTAAAATTTTGATTAATTTGATTTTTAAATTGAATTAATTTAAAATTAAATTTTTTAAATTATTTTCGTTAATAAATTAAAAAATTAATTTGATAACTGATCAATTAATTAATTTAATCGATTAATTGGGTTAAAATCTAATTATGATCACCTTACTAATTTGGTGTATTTTGGAATTCATTGGGATAAAGCTTGAGCTTTTCTGCAAGCCCTTAATGGCGCAGAGAAGGCTTGATTGTCGTTTTCAGTGTATCTAAGTTGCCAAATGGAATTGGATGATATACTAAAAAAAATACTAAATAACAACAATACGATGGAATGTTTCCACCAAAAAAAGTAACTCCCATGATCCAATAAAATGAAGTAAAATGTGATGCGATACTATCTTGACTATGTCATAGGTTTGACCATTCTTCACCATAAAACAATGATATTTGTTTACTCGTCCACTTCGTTATAATAAAGATTAAGAATCAGGATATTTTGAGATTTTATTTAGATTTATTTTTTAAAATGATTGTCAATATGCATTTTTCAACTAATACGTTTAACAATTTTTTGTGCCTCACCCATGCACTTATCGAATCATTTTACCAATTTAAAAGGCTAATCAAATGCAAGCTTGGAGGTTCAATATGTTAAGGGAAATTTTTACCCTTAAGAGAGATTTAGTACCAAGTTTAAATTGTTAGTCCAAATATTGAAAATCTAAAATTATTATTTTTGATAAATTTAAAAATTTGAGCAAAGTCTTTAAAGTGTGTAATGGTGTTATTTTATTTAAAGTTTTATTTGTTTTCACTATATTATTTATTTAGTAGTATATAAAAGGGTCACAAATAATAAACATTAAGGATATAATAAAGTCTAATGATTTATTATATTTTGTATTAACGAAATCAATCAACTGAATATTTACCATCATATCACAAGATCATTGAATTTTTATAAATATTTTTTGCACCAAAATTTTTATAAAAAAAATCTAAAGTTTGAAAAAAAAAGAAATTTCAAAAATTATTTTTTTGTATCTTTTCATAAAATCAGAAGAGTTTTTTATAAACAGTTAATGTTTTTTTTTATAGATATAATTATCTATTTTGAAGAAATTGTTTGTTTTTAAACAATTGAAATATTCATTATGAACAAATTTATCTATCTATTTTGTATAAATTTAATTATTTTTTTTGTTTATTTTGGACAAACCTTAATCAATCAAACAATTATAAACTTTAATAAAGTAAAATTTTTATAAATTTTAAATAAAATAATATTTTATTTATTACATTGTAAGTGTAAAATGTCATTAATTAAATAATAATATATACTAATTATTTAATTAATGCAAGACCAACTAAATATGAAAAACTAAGCTAATGATCTATTAGTCACTTAACTCCAACAATAATGAACTTTTACTTCTCCTAATTTAAATAATTGTCTTATCATTGTCTTTTTTAATGTGAAATTAATTTTTATTTTTTATTTTGAAAATAGATGGTGGTTAAAGAAAATCATCATGATTCATTTTGATATTATATAAATTATGTGGGAAGCCCGCCGGCATGCTGATGCAGTTTGCGCGAATTAAATGATGCACTTTCATGCTTCATTCTTTAGACAATTAAAAAAATTATTAAGAAAAATATAATAGAGTCGTAGTTGTTTCTTTTGTATGTGGGCTGTCGCCATTGCCCAATTGAGGTTATGAAATGCCCAATTAAGTTGGGCTCTGGTGGGCTATGAAATGAGTTTTTTGAGGTTAGCCTGGAATGAGCATTTAGAATTTTATGGCCGCCTCAAGAAATAGAACAGTTTATATTTTATACAATTATCAATTTTTATCATTAAAATTAAATTTTTAATATTTTATCAATAAATCGTGCAACTGTCAATATTAAAAGCCAAATTTGTTACTTTTTATTTTTATCATTAAAATTAAAAATTTTAATATTTTATTAATAAATTATACAATTAAAAGTCCAATTTGTTGCTTTATATTTTTATCATTAAAATTAAATTTTTAATATTTTATCAATAAATCAGGTAACTCTCAGCCAAATTTGTTCCTAACTTTTTTTCTTTTGCATATTTCTTAATTCTTATGTGGAATTTTTGTTTCACTATAATTGGATGTAAAAGATATGTATGAGATTTGTCAATGAGGTTTTGATTTAGTGATAACAAGAAGTCATAAAATTTTAAGATTTTAAGTTAAACTCTCATTTTGTTAGAATTTAATTGTTTAGTTATTTTATAATTTGTTAATTGATTAGTTAATGATTGTAAATTAATTATAATATAATAATTAATTTTTTAATTAATTATATAAATTTAATACTTTACGACTATAATTTAAAAAAATGATAAAGTTCACATACACCTTTTATGATTTGCAACTTTCTCACTCACATTCTTTGTGAAAATTTTTTTTTTACTTATAATCTTATATTTCACTTCTATTATTAGAAGGGATAACGAAGTTAAAACTAAAAGTTAAGGTAATTTTATAATATCTCTAAAATCTGTTTGATTTTTAACGTCGTTATTCCCTTTTAGTAAGAGAAGTAAATTACATGGTTATAAGTGAAAAAAAAAATTTTCACGTGAATGTAAATGTGAAAGTTGCAAACCATGTATTTGAAATTTTCAAAATATATATATATATATATATATGTATGAGATTTACTTGATATAAAATCAAGGATAAACTTAATGTACCCAAAAAAAAAAAGTCAAAAATAAATTTTTGTAACATGCTACTTTTTTTTCATTAACGACCATTCTAAAACCAATTATGGTTATTAAAACATTTAGAACATTAATCTTTAGAATCCTGTTATAAACACCAGACCAAACAAAGAAATGTATATATATGGTATATTAATATAATATTTTGGAAATCTCCTATAAGTTTTTTTTTAAACATGAGTGATAATCCTGGAGGACTTCTTTCTTTTTTTTTTTTTTTAAGTGATCTCATGTTTTGCAAAAGATTTATGGCTAGGATTTCACCTGAAGACAAATTGAACTTCACAGCTTATTATATATATATATATATATATAATAAAGTATGTAAAGAGGAAGGAAAAAAAAAACCCTTAACCTTGAGTATATCTCCTTCATAAGATAAATCAACATTGCTAAAAGCAATATATAGAGCTAAAAACTTGCCTTCCATTTATATTTTCTTCAATTCTACAGCTTCTTGCTTGCATAAACTAACCCTTTTACACAGTCTATAGAATCCACTCCAAATCTTTTTTTCCTTCTCATTCCGATCCCTTCTAATCCTCATCTTCCAGATCAATGTCCACCTCACAACTTTTCTGAAAATTCCTACTCCATGAAGATTGGCCATTTTTTCCTCAAATCTCCCTTCTGCTTTGGGGTTGTTTGATATGATTCTGAACCGCGTCGAACTGCAGCAAGGATACGGCAAGGCCATGGTGTGCCTCTCCAGAACATGGCCAAATGAAGCCAATTCATACGAATCATACAGAGGACTCCCACAGTCCCATATGCTATCATCACTTTCCTTTTGCTCTGATGATATTGATCTTTTCTTCTCCATGAAAATTTCTAGACTGTGTTTCAGGACAACCACCCCAGCTAACTCCAACTTAATTCTTAAACTTCTCAAACGTTTTGTTTTGTTTTCTTTTTAGAACATGACATGATGTCACTTAGGCTTGTCTTGCAATATACAACATTGTGCTACATGTCAATGGATGATGTATAACCAGTCAAATTCCAACGCTTGGAACAACGTTATTGGGGTTGGATCAGTTGTTGCATTATGCATGCATCAATACATGTATAGGAAGGGCTTGGCAAAATGAATGATAATTTAAATCAAAGGACGGCGGCCACCTAACTTAAAACCGAAGCTATGATCCAACAAATAGACCATTGATGGTCGGCTTTTATGTTTTATAGTAGTTGGTATATAGAGTAAGACAGTGTAGTTGGTCTCATTCTTTGTTTTCTCATTTTCTCTTCCCATGTTTTTTATTGATCAATAGACAATTAAAAAAAGTAAAAGGAGGAGAAAAAAGAAAAGGGGAAACTTACACACCCTTGTTGATAATTGAACTTTGTACAATTTAATAATTTATTCCGTCAAGGCAGCCCAAAAAAGTTAAAGTTTTAATTTGAGTTAATAATTTATATATTTTTATCATATAAAATATTAATAATTTATATATTTATATTATATTTTTTATAAAAATTATATATAATAATTTATATTGATACAAAAAATATCATGTTATATAATAGCATCACATTCTAAATTATTAGATTTAATTTTAACAAATAATATATGATATTGAAAGCTAATAAGGACAAAAATAGCTTAAACTATGGGCCTGGCAGTCTGGCACGCAGTAAGTCAGATTTAAATTCCATGGGTAGCTTGTTTAATTTAATCAATTTCATTAAGGCTGTTTAAACCGAATCCATTTGTTTTCAGCAAGTGCA